ACAGGATGATGCCATTCGGACTGAAAAATGTCAGGGCCACCTACCAGCGCCTAGTCAATAAAATGTTCGTTAGTCTGATAGGAGAAAATATGGAAGTTTATGTAGACGACATGCTCGTCAAGTCTGTGTACGCATCCAATCATGTAAACGATCTTAGTAAAATGTTCTTTATTTTGCGTGATTATTCCATGAAACTAAACCCTAAAAAATGTACCGTCGACGTCGGATCCGGGAAGTTCTTGGGCTACATCGTTAGTCAAAGTGGCATCAACGCCAATCCTAAAAAAATCGAAGCAATACAAAACCTTTGGCCACCGACCTCGATTAAAGGGGTCCAAAGCCTGACTGGAAAGTTAGCGGCATTAAGCCGATTCATCTCTAAATCAACCTACAAATGCAAGCCATTCTTCGAGGCCATAATAAAAACTATAAGTTACATGGACGCCGGAGTGCCAGCAGACTCTAAAAGCGATTAAGGACGTCCTGAGCCGACCACCACCATGCAAAAACCACGGTCAGGAGAAGAGTTGTACCTGTACCTCGGCGTGTCCCAAGTGGCCATAAGCGCCGCCTTGGTCCGAGAAGTGGATTCACAATAATACCACGTCTACTACGTAAGCAAGGCCCTCCACGACGTCGAGCTGAGGTACGGACCCATGGAGAATATGGCCTACGCACTTGTGACGGCCGCCTGAAAGCTGAGACCCTATTTCCTTGAATACACTGTGACCGTCATCGCCTCCTTTCCCTTGTAATAAATATTGCATCGACCCGACACTTTAGGCCGAATGGTTAAATGGGCGATCGAGCTAGGTCAATACGACATCCATTTCCAGCCCCGAACAGCAATAAAGGGGCAATTACTATCAGACTTCATTGTCGAGCTCACGCCGGGGGTCGAAGAAATAAAAAGCGACGAACCCTGGGTGATGTACGTCGATGGCTTGTCCACCGCAGGAAGAGCGGGCGGGGGAGTCGTCCTTGTGGATCCCCAAAAGAAATTGTTTTGTCACTCGATTCAATACCTCTTCTCGGCGATGAACAACGAAGCCGAATGCGAATCATTGCTATCCAGGCTGGCCCTGGAAGAAGCGATGAGCTTGACCGACCTAGTCATTTACTCGGACTCAATGCCGATGGTCAAGCAGATATTATGCGAGTACGAGGTGAAAGAGCCTCGACTCGCCCCTTACTTGAGTCTCGCCAAAAAGAGACTCGGAAAGTTCCAAACACGAATGGAACATATCCCCATGGCGGAAAACGTTCAGGCTGACGCACTGGCTAAGCTCACTTCAAGTGCTGGGGTGGAAAGTGTCGACTACGTGCAAGTCGGACACAAAGAACACCCGTCAGTAGCCATCGGCGCCGTGTTGAGTGCTGGGTCAACCTCAAGCGGTCCA